AAAAAAAATATCAATTTTAACGTTTTATTTAGATTACAAAAATAAATCGTAGTAAAAATAATCCTATTTATGATGTTTTAAAAATTAAGACCTACGAAAGAATGATTTAAGACATTTTAATACCAATTAAGGCCTTAGTTTTATTCAATGCCTTTTAAGACTTTTTAAGGACCGCAGGAAGCCTGCAGACTCACCCGATAAGTGAAGTTGATCTTAGAGGTTCCTCGTCTGTCTCCCTCCACCTCTATCTCCACCGGTCCGCTCTCCGTCTGTTCCAGCGGGATGTCGTGAGGCGGTATTCGCTTCGGACCGATCTCACACACCACACTGTCGACAGACAGAGGAAATCATTCATCAGTTCAACAATACTTCATACAAAGAGGTGAGAGGCAGTAATGTGTAGCTCAGAGTTAATGGATGGGAGGAGTTTGACCATTCATGTCCCTGTGGTCGTTACCTGGTGGAGACAGAGTATCTCTCCTCCATGTGAACACAGTTCACTCCTGCCACAGTGATCCTTCTCACGTCCTCCTTCTTTATTCCCATGTTGGAGCCTTTGATGGTCACTGAGATCTGACCATTGATGGGGCCGAAGCGAGGAATGATCTGCAGGAGGAATTATCATCAGAAAACTCTCCAGTTTAACAATTCAATATGATTAGTTATCAACCATGTAATGTTTTGTTTCCCTACAGTATATGATAATAAATGTATTTTGTGAGCTTTAAGTGAGGCGAGACTTTATTTTCAGTAATAACATGTTGAGTTTGTAACAAACCTGAACTCACTAATGCATTCTTATACTGTATGCATCTAGTTTAATAAATGATAATCTATATCTTTGAGGAGGTTAAGGGTGAAGAGGTAGAGTCCTGCTGGACTAAAGCAGCCAATCAAAAAGCATGATAACTTCCTACATAACATTTTAACCTTTTCTCTAAATCATCTTCACATTTTCCTCTAATGTTTTTTCTCAGTAAATATGTCTCATTTTCAATGATGCATTTTCATTGGAGACAATCTGACAAATTTAGATTTGAGTTATGTTTGAAGCATTTTAAGAGAAAATCAAGCAGATGTTTTCCAAAAAAGTTAAAAAAACTAAACAATCCACTGGACTTTGTTTCCAAGTTTGAAGATGTTTCTCTTCCATCCAGGAAGTTTTTTCAATTCAAAATGTCAGGAATACTGTTGAGTTCAATGCTTTATAAAGTAGACTAAAGCAAAGCCTTGTTTTGGGTTAGAAAACATGCAACCTGAACCTGGCGAGCAGGTCCACCCCTTAATAATTGGGGTCGTTTTGTTTCTTTGTTTAATTTGCATGTTTCTAACCCAAAAAAAGTAACAAAATAAGCTTTTGGGATGGGAAGCGAAACGTCTTCAAACTTGGAAAAGTCCAGTGGATTGTTTTTTAACTTTTTTAGAATGACTCTGACCCGGATGACTGAGAATCTTCACCAGCAAGCAGATTTTTTATTTTGGATCTAGTGTAAATCAATGCGTATCCTTTTTTAAATTAATCTTGTAATAAAATCCTGATAGCTAACCGTTAGCCGACTTTAAAAGTTAGAAAAAAAGGTGAAAATAATTGATTTTTCAAATTAAAGTAAAAAAAAAAAAAATAAGCTGAGAAAAAAAATGCACAGTATTATCTACGGAGCCCCCTAAGGGACATGGGGATTTTTTTTTTCTTTTGCGTTCCCTCGCAAAAGTATTGTGTTAACTCGCAAAATTTGCGTTACCTCGCAAAACCTTTTGCGTTACCTCACAAAACCTTTTGCGAAAGTTTTGCGTGGGAACGCAAAACCTTACTTCGGTAAAGTTAGAAAGATATTCACAGATTCGGACTTCTGGGATCAATAACTCTCGTTGTTGAAACAAAAAATGGCGCCTCTTCCATGTCCTGATAGCACAGAGTACGTATGACAAGAATCAAAAAGCGTTATTTTCGAGAAAAACGAGCCGTTCTCCGAGCTGGATGTATTACATTGATCTCTATGCACAGGCAGCGGCCAGGCGAGTGGTTAGGGACCGTCTGCAAATGGTAAAACAACAGAAAAACGTTGCAAATAAAAATAAATAACTCCACTGCCATAAAGTGCAGAGACTCCAAAACCACCACACACACCCAGGGGCTCTTGGTGATCGCACTACAACAGCTGGTTTGGAAAAATACACCTTTTTATTTTTATTTTTTGTTATTATTAAGCATTAATATCATCCTATTTTAATCAATAGCTCTGTGATTATACAGACACTCAAAAATCCTCAAATAGACAGAGAGACTCCTGATGATCATACTACAACAGTTGTTTTTAAAAAAGACACCTTAACTTATTTTTTGAAGCTTTTTATTGTTATTAAACATTAATATCATCCTGTTTTGATCAATAGCTCTGTGTTTATACAGTGCAGACACGCACACCAAGGGGCTCTTGGTGATCGCACTACAACAGGATGATGATGGAAACGCAAAAGAAAAGAAATTCCCCATGTCCCCTAGGGGGGGCGCCGTAATTATCCATTGAGGATCTTTTAAAACGACCAATAAAAAAAATATACCTGAAGCTACAGAGTTAGGGTCTAAATCCAGAACCAAACTGACCAATAGGAGCAGAGCAAACCCGACCATCCAACATCTATATTCACTGCTCTGTATTCCAGGTTTTTTTTTTTTTTTGTCAGTTTGTGAGATGTGTGTGAAATCATTCTCGCCTTTAGTCATGCATATTTGTTATTTCCCTGTAACTCCACCTCATTACTGGAGCTCCTGGTTTTTCTCTGGATTCCCCAGAAACGCTTATATTTGCTCTCTTTTCTCCATGCGGTACATTTCTGATGAAATGTTGCTATTTATATCCACAAAGGACTAAGAAAAACAAACCGCATCACCGGCTGTATTAAAAGGCGCCATTTGGAGAAATTCTCTTGCGGCTGACACCGTGTCAGATCTACAACCCAGATTAGTCTGAATTGAGTTAAAGAAAAACTCTGTAATCTAATATCTAAGATATAATCCCAGGCTTTTAGACTATACTGATGTCAGCATTAAAATGAGGGCCGATGTTTGACAGATTATATCTAAAGGAATAGTTTGTTTATCAGTTGTGATTATGTGGAGCAGTTAGGAGCAGGCAGTGTCTTACGTTGGTGTTCTCTGTTTATGAGATCCTAGGATTGATGGATTCCATTTAACCCGAACAAAAAGCAAAGTTTTAAGGTTTTCTCTGAGCCCAGTTTCCATTATCTGAATATTGACTTTTATAAAAAGGGAAAATCCTTGGTCATCTTTACCGTCGATAGGCTGCAGCCATGTGTCCCGAATTCCTCGTTTTCCAGAAACTTTTGTTGAAATTTGCATTTTTCCATTCTCTAGCTTTTTCTACGCCTCAAGCTTTTTTTCCGAACATACGGCTTTACGATCAACCGGAAGCAGATCCGCACAAACACGCAGAACCACTTATATCTGATATATCTGATGAAATTGCTTTTATAACTGTATTTCTTTTTAAATGAAGCCCTTTAAATGCCACGGTAATCACATTTAGGGAATTTTAATGCCAATTAAGGCCTTAATTTAAAAAAAAATTATAATTTAATGACTATTAATGAACCATGTAAATCCTGATTACTCTGAAAGCTGAAGGCTACAGCTCATAAACATACCAAACAATCCATAACCTCATGGATGAAACTATTCCTACCTTCCAGGGACCTAGGAGTTACCTTCTAGAACTTTCTGAGCACTTATATGATGGATCAGGTAAATTTACAGTTAATCCCTGAGGTTTAACATTATTTTGCAGATTTAAAAAAACTTAATGGTGAGTGTTCTTGAAATTCTCTCAGACTTCCTTGTAACTTACAAACATTTTGACAGAGACTGACCTTGAAAGTAACATTTCAGAGGGTTACCTGTAACCTGGACTAGATCACACGAGGATTTCATCATCGCTCATTAGTATTTTATACATTTAGGCTTTAAATAGAACAATAAAGTTATTATATGGCCATCACAATCTCCCATGCCTGCTCTTTATCTGGTCGCCTTAACTTTTAGCAATACCTTTGTCTTCCTGATGTTATCTTTATAAAGCATAGGAGTCGTGTAACATGAAATTGTGTTTTTTTTTTTCACTCCTAAAAATGAACATTTCTTGGTCCATGAAACGAGATTCAACCTCAGCTGAAGCCGCAGGAAATGTTTTAATGTTTTAGGATAAAATGCGATCCACAGTCTGCAAATGTTGTGTTTAAATTGGAAACTCCACCGGATTTGCTTTGCCTTTTAGAAACTGACTTCCTCTTTGAATGATCCACTGTACTTTAGACTGATGAGCTGTGGATTGTAGGGGAACGTTCAGTGGACCACGCTACTGGTACGCTTCATGCAACGCTGGGTGGAACCACTACGATTGACTCGAGCGGCTGCGATCAACCGAGGTAGCGGTGCGTGGACGCCTCATGGACGATCCGCGGCATTAACGCTTTCCACTGAACACGTTATCGGATTGCATCATCGCACTATTGCAGTAAATTTATCTAGCTCCTGTTTCGTTGGATCTATTATGGTTAAGCAAGTTCAAATATTAAATTTTTGAGTTTTCTTTTGTAATTTATTTATTTATTGATCGTATTTTTTATGATAGTTAATAGTTTATTTAAGAAGTTAAAGTCCAGAAAAGGCCTTTTAACCAATGTAAAACAGTCTTTTCCTTCTAAACTCGCCTGGATCCAATTTGCTCCTCATCAACTGTCATGTCTGAACAATTTTATAGAAAGAGGGGGGGCGGCGCATCTAGGAGGCTACAGAAATGCCTCGCTACGCATCGGCTGGAACCCTCTAACCGATCAGAGCTGCTGCCATCAGCTGCGAAGCTGCAGTGCTAAAGAACCACTTCCACTTCCAATGGTACCAAAAGGCCAGAAAAGTACTGCTTCAATTCAAAGAAAGTAACGAGAACCTGGCAGGTTATTATTTAAAAAAAAACAAAAAACTTTCAGGTAAGTTCAGAGAAAGTAAACTAAGTTCTGGAAAGTTATTGTAACAAGAAAGTTTTAGGATAGAACCTTTAAAAGTAGCTTCAAAGTTTAAAGAAAGCAAACAGCAAGTCACAGGAAAGTAAATAAGTAAATAAAGAATAACCTTAAAGTTCTGATGTTAAACTGCAGCTTTTAAAGCTGATGAATTACAGGAGGAAACATGTCAGTTTAATGACTCACATCAGTTATTTCCGGGTTGGGGCAATGGCCCAGCTCTGGTAAATTGCAGATGTCCTTATAAACACAGGTTTTGGTGTCTTTGCACCAAACACAGCCGTACTCGGCGGCGGCGTGTTTACACAGACTGCAGTCCCCTCTCCCCACCGAGCAGTTGTACAGCGTGACTGATGGAGGAGGAAAAGAGGAACAGAGGTGATGCAGCTGGATTAGTACTGGAACTAAACAGGCAATAAGACAATAACTTCTTTATTCCCCCTTTTCTGTGAGTGTTTGACACACCAACCTGTCAGCGTGCTGTCAATCTTCCTCTCAGTGACTCGGTCTTTGATGTGGAACGATATGTTCACCTCCTGCTGCTTGTCGTAAGCAAACTGCACAAAGAAACACACACAGTCAGGTTTCCATGTCTCCTCGGGACAAACAGAGCTCCTATGGGCGGGACTATCTGCGCTACATCACACATTTATCAGGTGTTTCTTGCTGCTGGATTTATTTTTATCCCAAACATATTTTTCTTTTTGCCCAAAACGCTGCCAGCAGTTAAAATCAGGACTGTTTGACGGGCGTCCATGATTGGACGCAACAAGGAGCTTAACCAATAAATGGAAATAAAGTTTTTATTCAATATTTTTACCTGATTAATAACTGTTTACCTCAGAATTAAACATTTAGGAATCTAAGATCAAGCAGAGCATAAATTCCCTCTGCAGGCCGATAAGGAAGCAATAAAACATTACAGGAGAAACACTGTTAATCTGATCACATCCAACTTTGACTCATTACTTATTTTTTCTCTTATTACATCTTCAGGCTACAATCCTGTCTAGTCCTATTAGTCAGAGTTGGACATTCGATATTAAATGAGTTTAATTTTCCTCTTAAAACAAGGATTTACTCAATAATTATGGTTTAAAAAAGAAAATCTTTTAACCATATTTCTTCCTTTTCTTGCTTAAAGCTTTTAGCCGTCTTTAATTATATTTCTATAGTTCTGCTTTTTTTTAATTTCTTTTAAAAGAAGCTAATGATTTTAAGGAAATAACATTAGTATTCATCACTAAAGTACCAGTTTGCATAAGAAGCTCTCAGCTTTTCCTGAAGCAAACAGCTCATATCCAGCAGAACGTTTCAATGTTTGATCAGTTTTAAAGTAGAATCATCTTTTATAGCAGCAGATAATCTTCCATCTTTGATCTGAGTTAACATTTTAAGGTCAAGGTCTTAATAAATATTGTTTTTTTTATATAAAAGCATGTGCATTGTGGGTATTTTTACCACTCTGCTGCTATTCTTCCCAGGTTGGAGGCACATGCAACAATGGCTGACCATCTCAGAGGGTCCTTTCTGAAGGACTCTTTCATCCAGGGCTTCTGCAGGTTTACGTCTGAGATGATGGACACTGGTCCCACTGGTGACCAACTTTCAGTTTCTTGAGAGAAGCGCACAATATTTCTATTTAAAATAGTCCTGGTATTTTAAAGAACTCACGGCATCCTGAGCTCTAAACTAAGGTCAGGCCAACAGCATCATGGATCCTCCGCCATGCTCAACAGTGCACATCAACAACTCTTAAATCCACCTGTTTATAAGCCATCCGGACTGTTTATATGACACCTCAAATCTCTGTGTTACTCCCTTATATTTTTTATTTCTAATTTTTATTTTGTTTTTATTGTGTGTGATACATGCACACTTGCACCTTAATCCTAATTTATCTTAATATACTGTATATATATTGTTTATTCTTAATGCACCTTTTTCCTCCTTGTTTGCACCTTCTTCTTTTATAACTATGCCAATATGTGACCAGTGAATTTCTCCGCTATGAGATCAATAAAGTTCATCTAATCTAATCTAATCTAATCTAATCTAATCTAATCTAATCTAATCTAATCTAATCTTTTTCTTTGTTCCTGATCCACTTGCTGCTGGAGATTTCTATCTTTTTAAATAAAGCCTTAAACCTTTAATCTGGATAAGAACCATTTCTTACCATTGAATTTTTACTCTTTCTAAAAAAAGAAAAAAAAATGGATGGACGTTTTAATAGAGAAATATCAGCAAAGTAACTGTTAGGTTGGATAAATTTACCTCTAAAGGGTCAAATAAAATATGAAACGATAGTTTCTTGGATACTGTGAGCCTTTCGAACAGAAAGGGAGACCTTGTTCAGAGTCTTTATACGTTCTCAGGTTTTTAAACTCGACCGAACACACAAACAAAACACTGTCCTCCTCCCGTTTGCAGCGAGATGGTAAATTACATCGCTGAGAAGGTCAAACCAAACGGCCACAATTGTGGTCATAAATCAGAGGATCTTTTCTTCTGGAGGACAAAAAAAAAATGGATAAAGAGTAAAAATGGAGGAAATAGATGAGAAAATATTAGATGACCTGCAGCCTTTAACTGCTTCATGCAAAAACCAAACAAACCCAACAGGGGGCGCTCTCACCCACCCCTGAACTGCATTTAAGAGTTAAAAAAGATCAATCATGGTAATGAGAGTTTTAAAATAACTAAATAAATGTTGCAATCATGTTGAGTAACTTTGAAATCAACAGCCCATCAGTAATCAGTCGCTGGCTGATTTTAGGAGCTCCAAACATCATCAGAGGAGCAATGGAGACCCCAGCGCTGCTGCTGATGTTTCAATTAAATAATCAGAGTGGTTCTGTTTGCCCACAACACTGATTACCGTGTTCTAACTCTTCCAAACACTTTCACTTCTGCCCTTTGGACTCATTGGAACACTTTAAGAAAACTGCTTCTTGAGCCTGGAAACGATTTGAACCAGAAAGGTTCTCCTTTATTCAAGCCGTGGGTCGAACCCTCGTCCCCATGCTCACCTGATAACCGTGGAATTTGAATTTTGAGCCTTCTTCCCGCGTGACCTCCTGCTCAGTATTCTTCATCAGCTCTGTGCCAATGGAGAAGCTCCCTCCCTGCAGACAAAGAGGAAAAGTTTAGACCAATGGAAGCAAAAAAACCCAGCTGATGATGGCAAAACATTTCTTCTCATTTCTGGGAAATAAATAAAGGGTTTCTAAATGGCTGAGGCTTGTTTATTTTTCATATACAGAAAAGGAGAAAGATTTTAAAACATACGGTTTTATTAGATATCTTATTGGTCATTTAGTTCTGAAAGGAAAGGTTTCTTTGTAAAGCAATTTAGTGCAAAGCTAATTCAATGTGCTTTTCATGCACTAAGAGGAAAAAAAACAAGTAAAGATAAAAACATAACCTTAAACTAATGATGCCGGGTAAGGACTTCTAAGAACTCAGGCTTTCAGCTCTTTTCCAGTCTGCTGGGAGTTTGTTCTAGATCAGTGGAGCATAGATGCTGCTTCTCCATGTTTGGTTCTAGTTCTGGGTGAACAGAGGAGGCTGAAACTAGAAGACCTGAGTGGTCTGGGAGGTAGATCCACTGACAGCAGATCTGTTATGGATCTATTCAGTGATTTCTAGACTAACAGAAGGAATTTAGAGTCTATTCTCTGAGCTTCAGGGAGTCAGAGGAAGGACTTCAGAACCGGGCTGATGTGCTCTACTTTCTTAGCTCTAGTGAGGACACGGGCAGCAGTGTTTTGGATCAGCTGCCGTCGTCTGATGCTGCAGTGATGGATTCTACTAAAGATAAATGCATGAAGGAGCTTTTCTAGATCCTGCTGGACATCAGTCCTTTAATCCTGGAGATGTTCTTCAGCTGATCAAAGGCTGGCTTAGTAACAGCCTTTATGAGCCTCTGAAGGTTCAGGTCCATCATGATTTCAGCCATAATCAGGGGTTTCTAGCTGCAGTAGCTAAAGCTGGGAGCTAACTCTGGATCTCTGCTCCTTTAGCCTGAAGATTATTACCTCAGTTTGGTTTTAATCAGTTGGAGAAAATGATGGTTCCTCCACATATTGATCTGTTCTAAGGATCTAACCTACGCTCTGATGGGTTCATAGTCACCTGCTGACATTGGGATGTAAAGCTGTGTGTCGTCTGCATAGTTATGCTAACTGATCTGGTTGTTTGTTTTAATCTGAGCTAAGGGGAGCATGTAGATGTTGAATAAAAGGGGCCCCAGAATGGAGCCTTGAGGAACCCCATATCTGATTTTTCTGGTCTCCTAGAGGTCCCGATCCTTCAGGTAGGATTTAAACCCGTCCAGTCCTGTACCGGTTTTCCAGACGCTCTGATAACGAGCTGAAAGGTGCTGAAAGGAAACAGCAGTCACCTCGTAGTTTTCCAGGTTCCTTCCCTGGAAGCTGATGGGCATCTCATGGCCGACGGGGATCAGCAGCGGCTCAGGAAACCCGAACTGAGGACAATTTTCCCGCTTCATGAGAGGAGGAAGAAATAAGAGGTCAGGAAGACGCACAATAACATCTGTGGATTATAGTTTCTACTAAGAGAAAATAAAAAAAAAGCACCTGTTGAGGTTTCACTATACGATTATCATTCATTTTTTCATCCTCATCAGTGCAGCTGTGATCCTGAGGGATCCACTGACACTTCCACTGACTGGTCACACAGGAGATACACCTGAAACACAGCAGCCTGTTTAACGCCGGCCGTACATCCCGCTCCGTCCCGCATTTTGAGTCTGACAGAGATCCGGCTCACGGTGTGTTCGGGTTCTTCCAGATGGTAGCGGCGCAGTTGTAGAAGTGATATTCCCCAGACGTCACCTCGATGTTGTTTACCAGAATCTTTACTGGAACGGAGACAAAGTCTGCAAACAAACGTTGGAGAGAGGATCATTATGGTCACCATGATGGATGAGCAGACTAATGCTTCTCTATAAGGGACCAGTCTGATTCCTCTTGATAAATGGAACCTCATATTATCCTTTATCTTTGTCTGAATCTACATCAAAAAAAAAAAGCAGAAAAAGTTCATTTTGAACCTCATGAGCTGCTGATGCCTACAGTTCCCAGAATGCCTGGTATCAATGGGGATAAAAGCCAACGCCTGGAGAAAAGGCAGCGAATGAACCCAGCCCACACTGACGTACCCTGCTGCTCAGGCGTGGGGGGGATGCTCTCACGGTTGGGTAGCGAGCACGCCACCAACGACTGGTTTGCCGAATCCACTACAGCGCCTGTCTGGAACGAACCAAAAACGCACTCTAGCTGGTCCAGTTCCTGCAGTCTGGGGAGGGATGGGATGGTGATCCGGACCTGCAGAGAGACGATCGCAGAGGGCAGCGTTCAGTGTCTGCAAAGATGAAACTAAACTGATATCAGAGAGCTAAGCAGATCTTTTAGTTCTCAGGCTCCTCTCCTGTGGAACCAACTACCAGTTTTAGTCCGTGAGGCAGACACCCTGTCTACTTTTAAGGCTAGGCTTAAAACTTTCCTTTTTCAGGAAGCTTCTAGTTCGAGTGGCTCAGGTCATCCTGATCTATCTCTATTGTTCTGCTTCTATAGGC